AGATTGAATTTGAGCAAATCAACCCCTTTCTCAGAGAGGTGTATACCAAAAACCAGAAAAAAACAGCCAGTTGCTGTTGAACTGATTCTGATTCATGGTTACCCTATATGAGTCTGAGTAGAACTATGGTCCATAGAGTTTTCAGTGACTGATAATTTTCAGAAGTAGATAACCAGGCCTTTCTTCCAAGGTGTATCTGGGTGGACTCAAACCTCCAACCTTTTGGTTAGCAGCTAAGCTCATTAACTGTTGAGGTGCACACCAAACTCAACTCACACTCATGTCATTCTGACTTGTAACAACCCTATAGAATAGAGTAGAACTGTTCTTCAGTGTTTCCAAGACTGCAAATCTTTACAGAAGCAGGCTGCCTCATCCTTCTCCCAGGGAGCAGCAGGTGAATTTGAATTGCCAATGTTTTGGTTATCAGCTGAATGCTTTAACAACAACACCACCAGAGTTCTTTTGAGGTGCACAAAATTATTTAGAGGAAACGGGTGAATATTTGAATCAAGAATCCTTTAGTAATAAAGACTATTTCTCATCATTTATCTTTTGATATTAGATAATTTATAAACCAAGTGAAATTAAAACAGGGTAATGGAGGAGATGGAAATAAAACTAGCACTCCTTTCTTAACAGCCTATAGGAACTATATGTAACTTGAGTTATCTATGTAATTGTGGATGCATTAGTTAATGGTAATACATCTAATTCTTAAAATAAAAGTTATGCTATAAATAGAATATTCATTATAAAATAATTTAGCTAGTGAACATTTATTTTTTGTTACCATAAATTTAGGTACCTAGCGATAAACTAGGAGCTCTGGTGGTGTAGTGCCTAAGGCATTTGAATGCTAAGGAGCTCTGGTGACATAGTGGTTAATGCATTCAGCTGCTAACCAAAATGTCAGTGGTTCAAACCCATCAGTTGCTCTGTGGGAGAATGATAAGGCAGTCTGCTTCCATAAAGAGTCAAAGCCTTAGAAACCTTATGTTGTTGTTGTTGTTAAGTGCCGTCGAGTCGTTTCTGACTCATAGCAACCCCATGCACAGCAGAACGAAACACTGCCCGATCCCGCTCCAGCCCCACAATCCCTGCTATACTTGAGCCCATCATT